CTGCTCATTTTCACCGATCAGTGCAATAAGGTGGTTTGTTTAGTTAGGTATTTTTTTTACTAGACAGAAACAAAAGCCCCTTTTGTATTCTATTTAAATATTTTTTTATATATATTTGCAATTTGCCGAAGCGCACTTCTCTGATCTTTGTTTTTTTTAAGATTGCCTACGCCATGTTACGTGGACATTTTCGGGTGCTTTATTGGTTGTAAATCAGAATGTAGGACGTACATACACCGTCTAATAGAATAGGAGACGTGCGGGCACCGTCTAGTCGGAATGTAAGACATACGTCCGCAGTCTAATCGTAATCCGAAAATTGTCTCATATTAACATAATTATTACTACTCTACAAACACAAATGTTTCCGTCTATATCCAAATTAAGTGTTTTATTGTAGTGGTGAGTGCCGTGTTCGTGATAGGATATGCTTAATATATTCGACACCTCAGATGATACTTTTATACGTGTCAGTGTATTAGTATTTGTGTCATACTCGAGATACTCCCCTTGAAACTGCAGATTTTACATCGCCTTGTAAACACCAGTTAATTTGGCATGTTTCCCAATATTAATAGATAATATTAATTTTGTCTTTTTGTGCTTAAGAACTTTGAGACGGATTGCGCGCCAGGATTGGTGGCACCATATTTGATTATTTGACGGACATTGCTATACAGCACATACCAGTGTTTTGTTACGCATATAATTTTTGGGGTCATTTGTCATCCGCGATATCGATATCCCACTACTGTCTGGGTTTGTCCAGGTAAATGTGTCACCAGCGATTAGAGCCGTATGAATATTGACTGAGAAGTCACTGTCCAGGCCATAACTATCTTCATCAAAGCATTCCATATGTGTGTGGCTATTTCGTATTCTATTATGCGAACGAATATAAGTTACCTTTGTGTCATGACAATTACGAGTAAAGGTCAAAGGTGTAAGAAACCCCTTCTGAACACCCCCATCACAGAGCTTCGTTAAAAAATCAGATAATCAGAAAAGAATAGCTACTAAGCTAAGCATATTAGCCGAACTCGCCACTTAATAAATGACCGAAGCTATATATTTGCAATCTGTTTCACAGAGAATTACGAGTCTCGTATAATATCTCTGTCATAGATGACTGCCTTAACACGTGCTGTCACAGCACGCGGTGTGAATCATTGGCTGAATGGCGCGAGCATTGTTTACATAAGACATAACTGCTTCGGAGAGAATGCTGCATTTTAGTCATTTTAATACCCATTTACACTAAATCGGAAATAATTTTTAACTACAAATACGTCAAACGCCTTTATTTATTTTTCCAATATATACAAAAAATGTTTTAGAATTTAATTTGTCGCAGGAAAAAAGTTAATATTTCTAGCTCATTAAGCCGCATCAATGCCATCCTTATCAGTGATTGTCGCGGCCAAGCAAATATTCACTGCGGATCAGTGTGATATATTTGCTGTAAATAGATATATCTGTGTATTAGGGTCCTAAGTTGTTCCTTGACATAGAGCACTTCTTTTTCTTGCTTGTCGCCGCTGTTATTCAAGATAATTATAACAATCTATAATTAACTCACAAAATTATTGGGGTAAAACCATCAATTAAGTAAAACCACAATCTTAGCATCTTATAGATTTTATTACAAACCGGACCGTTTACAGTTTCCTAGTGCAATCTATTTTTGGCGAAATAGTCAGTACATCACAACGCTAGCCCATCCCTATTTTAATGTATGTTTGGTATGTCGTTACTACATATTGTTACAGATGATTTTGTCATAGTTTAAAGAAGCAACAAGTTTATGTAAGCCAGAATTATTTGTTGTCATAAACCAGCCTTTAAGCATACGAAATGAATATGTATAATGTATATTAGCATAGGAATTCTCACAGTTTTAGCTCCGGTACTTTTTCTAAGAATGGCCATTGTTTGTCCGTCTCTAACGTTACAAATGTTATTTTAGTAGTCAACCAATGTAAGAGTTTTAAAACGTTGTATTTGAGAAATGTTGAGTTTTGCAAGATTTAATATATTTTAGGTGTCTATAATATATTATGGTTGTTTTTTTTTTTATAAATTAATAAAGATATTGCAACTTTAAGATGAGTTTAATGGTCTACTTTTCGACTTTTATTTTGATATAAACAAACCACAATATTTCATTTCAATTGATCTTGTGTTTATCAATTCCCTCTGTTTATTTCGATCTCTATTTGTGTAAAATTACTTAATTAAAATTTTTTAGCATTATTATGTTTTTATATTTCTGTGTTTGTGAGTTTTAACTCGATATACGAATCATTAACATTTTAATCGGATTAAATTAAGATAATAACTTGATTTAATTCATGTGACATATTTAATTATATTAAGAGATTATAAGATCCTCTCTTCCTAGGTGATTGATTAACATGTCATTTAAAGTGACATATCGTCAGGGTTTGAATGGATGACAGTCAATATAACTTTTAAACGTGGTTTCCCCTTGTCAGTGATGCAGGACGGAGGGCCTGACAAGGACAGCTGTCTAGTCATTCGGATGAGACGAAAAACCGAGGTCCCGTGTACACATTGGCGTGCACGTAAAAGATCCCTTGACAGTTGGAATTCGATATAAGAGTAGGCCGTAGTGCCGCTGTCTGGGCAAAATTTCCCTCATAGCACACTGTATGGCGTATGCCCGTCTTCATTATCCCAGTTCGGAGCAAAACAGTAGGACGTTAAACCCCATTTCATTTCATTTCATTTCATTTCACCTATCCTAGTGGGTTTTTTTTTTCGTACATACACTATGGGATATTCTTCTTCATCGGTCGCCGCCCTTAAATAAAAGCGAATTCGATCAACACAAAATTTGGCATGCTTGTTCTTTAGACAATTTTCACTTCGATTTTTCGACGTCACAATTCCAAGATGGAGCCGAGAAGGTTCCTGGTTTCGTAGTACGGTCGTATTTGTTGTTACAATTGCGGGAAACCACTGTATTCATCCTTAAATACTTCCGAACACGATGTATATTTGCTTACGTGAGGTTTGGATAAATGGTCACATTAAAACTTCAGTAATTTTTGTATTTTGTTCCATAGACATTTTTAAACAGTAAGAAGCAAATGCGGTTAATCTTACGTCTATAATGATTAAACCCAATTCGATAAATTGCGTTTGAGATATCTTTTGACGAATTGTGCATCTAATAATTTATGTGCATAGTTTTGCAATTTGAATATTGTGACTGTACATTAATGCACACCTTTGTTTTAAGGACGGGCCCACCCAATTTATCTACAGAAAGACAGTGATGAGTGATTATAATTTCAATGAACAGGAAGGTATCCGTGAATTCATTTGTCAACCGTGATAGGATACTAACACGACATGGGGAGTGACGTAATCATGTCTTATGTTAAGTTATTAAGACATACATATAACGTATGTTTAAAGTGAATGCGATTTAATGTACAACGTCATCATGTGATTTTATATGAGAACACTTCGAAGGAAGAAAAATAGTCATCACTGAATCAAGTCACGCCAATGCAGTCAAAGCGTGATCACTTTTTGATATTATTATACATTATTCATACTTGTCATTGGAGTCAGTTATAGCGATTGGTAAGTTCAGTTTAATTTGGTATTTTACATATACATGCTAGTAGATATCTGATTTGGTATTTTATGTATACTAGTACATAACAATATCATCTTATTGAAATGCTGAGCGTCAACTTAGTTTCTTCTGATTTGTTATTAGCTGCAAATTTAAAAAAAAAAATTCCACTCTCATTTTTCTTTTTGGGTGCCCCCCCCCCCACCATTGTCAGTGGTACATAGTCCTTCGGATGCGACGACAAACTGAGGTCCCGTGTACATACTGACATGCACATAAAATTGGAATTCGATATAAGAGTAGATGTAGCGCTGCTGTCCCGACAGAATTTCCCTCATTATAACACACTGTATGGCGTATGCCCGTCTTAAGTAGCCCAGTCGGAGCATAACAGTAGGACGTTAAACCCCGTTTCATCTAAGTTCATTTACATTTCTTTTACATTAACTCTGAGGTGGGAGTAGCGACATGAAAATAAATCAATATAGCCCTGTATAATATACATAACGAAATTGAATTATTATAGTCCTGTTGAGAGCGACATGTTTTATTTATTCCATTATATGTATTAATATAATTTACTGGCCCATGACCATCATGTTACTGAATATAAACACGGTATTACATGTATAATGGCATATAAACACGTCATTACTCGTATAATGAAATATGAACACAATGTTACACGTATAATGGAACATAAATACTGTATTACATGTATATAATGGAATATAAACACGGCGTTACATGTATAATAGAATATAAGCATTATGTTACATGTATAAGCATTGTGTTACATGTATAATTGAAAATTAGCATTGTGTTATATGTATAATGGAATATAAGCTGGTGTTACAATTATGTTTAATGGAATATAAGCATTGTGTTATGTGTATTATGGAATATAAGTATGGTGTTCCTAAGTGGACTATATGAATTTATATATTGATTTCGAAGGTCAAATTACAAATTCCAGGGGTTCTTTTGGTTTAAATAGTATGCATTTCGAAAATGTAAGATTTAAAGGCTTAAAGAATGGGATTAAAAAAAAAAACAAGACAAAGAGGCTTATGTTAATATGATTCTATGGGAGTAGGGTGTATACTGTATGTACAATTTAAAGTAATATAATTATGATGATAGAGGCAAAGCAGTAAACCAGTATTTTAGTTATGATACAAATAGGTAAATCATCGCTCATACAGAAGAATCAGTATTTAAAGAATGACGTAATCATCGTAAATTTCCGTTATTGACGTTAACAAACTGAATTCAGTAGTGTATAACACAGAGCCAGACTGTGACGTAATACTTTGACATGACATATATTTCAATTTGAGGCATGTTAACGAGAATCCTCGGTATATTCCGATAATAACCGATGTGTTTCGAACATAATCCCGGATGAAAGTTTTATCCATTAACTAGGAAGACTTTAGGACCCGCGAATGTTCATGCAATTGAGACCTACTTCCGGGAAATCAATGTCCGAGAGGGGATTAGTTCGATGAAACGTTTATTTTCTTTACTACTTTAGAAGAAAGAGCACAACGATATGCATTAAAGTTCGTGACATTATCATGACATAAACTTGAACAAATCGGGAAAAATAGGCAGAAATAAGCTTAGAAGGTCTATGAGCAAGAATGATGACGGAGGACATGTTGACCATTTGTTTATGTAAACTAAGGTGAGTGTGATGTGATTACTCAGTCCGACAAAAAATGATTTGACATTCTTTTGTAAAACTCGTTCGATGTTAACACTTTCTGAGCGTTGGGCCTGCAGCTGTCGAACATCTACATTGTACCGCATGGACTTGGCGCTCATGATCGGGCTTCGCCGAGGTTCGCAAGTCCGTTCGTTTAACACCTTACGCTCTGATTGGATAAACTAGTGGTCAGGCAACAGGCGGTATAACTGGTCATATCTATTTATTTCGACGATCAGTGCCTGAAATACTACCAGACTGCATTTCCGGCGCACGCCTTTGCCCCCTCAACCTTGGACTTTTCCCCAGCTTTGCCTCTCCAACCACCGGAGGTTGGCACCGCCACTGCATATTAGATATTATTTATTTGTTATCTTTTTATTGGGGGTGGGGGTGGGGGGTTATTTTATGAAGTTATCAAACCCCCATCTTTGACTGGTGGTTAACTAATGTTATCACTTTATGAAAAATGAGTATTTTATTAGAATGAATGTAAAGATTGGCTATTATCTTAATGTGATATTATTTTTAATTCCATTGAGGTTAATTTAAGAATAAAGAATAAAATGGCCTTTTCAATGTCGATATGTTTTTCTATATATTTATCTAGTTTGGGGGTAAAGGTTAGACAAAAAGGCAAAGTTGTTACTGACTACACCAAGTAATGTTTTTATTAAATTTAACATGAAATAAAGAAAATCTACATCCTCATATCAAATTAATATATATCATGATTCACTGTATGATTAATTATTACCTATACACGCGAACAGGATATACCGTGATGATAAATGAATGGATGAATGAATAACACTATTTGTGATTCAGCGAGGAAAATTCCGCGGTTTTGGAAATAGAAAGTATAATTATGTATATGAGTTTTTCACAGACCACGAATCTATTTAGTAATAGTAAAATACTGTTTGTCATCTCGGTGCTTAATATCTACAATTGCTGTTGACACATTATAGCACATAGGGTTATATTTCAAAATACCTTTACTAAAAGTTAACCCCAAGGGGAAACAACACAGTTGATTGGCGCATGTTTTCAATCTTCGATAATTTTTTTTTGTAAAAGCCCTTTATAATCCTGCATCTCACTATGGTTCTGTAGAAAAGTTTGAGTAGGGAGAAATGTTTAGTGGGTGCCGAAGTAAGTATTTTGAACTTGGGTGGACACTCACCACGTGGTAGGTTATTCCACAATGACGTCATCAAATATGGCCACCGACATTATATTAATTTTATCCTACCCCCTCTAGTTTTCCGCCATTTTCTATGAAATAAGGCCAGAATGAAGCTGTTTATTTGAAATGATTTGAAGAACATATTTTTGGTAATATTTTTCAAGAAAACACACCACATTTTTAAGCGAAAACGTGGAAAAAGTTCAAAAATATAAATAATTAGCACATTTACAATGCTACAACAATAAGAATACTTTAATAACACTCAAAAAAGAAGTTTTGTCTTTTTATATAAAGAACTATCTGTGCATACTAATTAATGATGTCAAGCATAGTTAACGCAAGATGTGATGTCACAATACATAGTTACCACAAGATGTAGTATCTTCTGACTGTGAAGAAATACACCGAGCGGAATCTCTCACACGAATTCAAAATGAAATTAGCAAACATATACCTAGCGTCAATATATTTATATGTATCACGATAATAATTGTTACCTTTATAATAGAAGCATTTTAAGACATGTTCTTACCGTAAACATACTAAAATATCACAAACTGGGCACGCAGAAAAGGGTACGTTCACTTTGCATCAAACAGTATTCAAACCAGCTTTGATGGCAAAATGTTTTTTATTTCACAGAATCAAGGTATGAATAAACTACTAGACTGCAAAATTTAATAAGCCGCCTATGTTGTATTGTATTCAGGACGCCTATTTCACACAAAATATTATTTTATATCCAAGTGGACCTTCCATATAAACGTCTATCTGCATAATAGGTTTATGAAAATATGCATTTAAACAACATTTGGATATTATCTACCACCTGTAGCACTTTCCCATCAAACTAACAATAAATTGTTTATTGGAATTTTCTATTCTTGTCGCTGTAAAATACTCGATCAATATTCCAAGTGTTAATTTATATAATAATTTAAAGCATACACTATTTAACACCATATCTTTCTGCATGAAATGACAATAAATTGCTTTTTGAATAACACGGAAACATATACCTTTCTTTCGTTATTGTAGCTGTAAAATAATATACGAATTATTATTTTATATAGCGTATTTTTACCAGGGGCGGGCTGGCCCCGAAGGGGCCCGTGGGTCACCGAAGACGACCCACGCGCCAAAGGCGCGCCGCTGGTAGGGGGGTCTGGGTGGGTTCTCCCCCCAGAAAATTTTTGAAATTTGACAACGGGAAACGCGTTTTGCAAGCACTTCTGGGAGAAATCTAGGTATCATATTTTCCAAATTTATGCTGCTATTTTGACTATAAGACATACCACTGTACTACACAAGACACTCATGACAGGTCTGCTTAATATAATGCTAATACAATGTATTTCTATCCAAATAATTAATTGCATCTTATACATATCGAGGCATGAATACATGTATCAAAAACCATTTCACCTTAAGGTGACAGACATTTGCACGTCAGCATAATATATTTTACTAATCGTTGTGTATGTATGATTTTTCGCGTGCGCACTCTCAATTTTTTGAGTGGGTTCCGCGTGAAAATTAGAGCTCTCGGGGGGGGGGGGGCGCTTATACGGGTGGACTTATTGTTTAATGGGGGCCTGGGAGGACACCGTCCTCCTAAACTCCCTGCCAGCACGCCCCTGATTTCTACTGATGATTAATGTAATCAGGTACCACAGAAATTTGCAAAACGTTTTAACATCCCATCTTTCCCCTCCCTTTTTAGGGATGGGTTGAACAAGAGTATGGTAGTTTCAGGGCTCCCTAAACTATTTTAGGTTCTTGCGTAATTTGGTCTCCCCGTTTAATCATGAATTTATGTCGATTTTGATGAATTGCTAAGGTTGCCGCAAGTTAGATGTGCAGAAGCTAGAAACACCAAGATATACTCTATAAAGCACAATTTACAGTCAGTTTTTCTAAAGAAATTGTGCCCCTATTAGAAGAGAACACCACCGGCCCCCACCCCCAGGGGTATCATTAGGACAGGTTCATCATTTCTGCCTGTTTTTTTGTCTACCTGTGGTTACTATCGGTCTAGATGATACCACGGACGGACCTGGGGCCCAAGGTCCATGGGGTCCGATGGGATTCTCTTCTCACAGGCGCAAAATTTCTTTTGAAAAAACTGAATGAAAATGATGCTTTCTATGATATGTCGTGATGTTGTCAGCCTATGCACAAATTCTATGTCTGACAATCTTATCGGAAATTAATTTTTGAACCCCGTATTGAACCCAGTAACAATGACAACTTTATTTTTCAAGGGATATCCAAAAGAACAAAAATCTCCATATTGGATTCTATTTTCATAGTTTTAAATTTACCTCATCTGGGCTATTCATAATAAGTTTTGTGGATAGAAATTGAACCCTGCACCCTTAAAGGGACAATAACACTCTTGCTGGCTTGACAGCTCCAGAAAATAAAAAAATAGCCTTATTCTAAGTACTAGATGTGTTGTAGCCCGTTCAGACGCTTATTTTTAAACCAGTTCATAATCGCTGGGGTTTTTAAGACAGCATCGTGTTGCGTTCACACGTACTATAAGCCAAACCAGTTCAACTATTCTGACCTCTTCGGTCGGAGGTTAGAGTTAATTGCGCATGGGTAGCTTCATATTCTTTATTCGGTTCTCGCACGCTTTAGATAACATTGGCACAGTCTGACCCCGATATTTTCACAGGAATGTAACTTACTGCGTACTGCGCATGCTCAAAGCAAGCTGGAGCTGGGTTTTTTAAGCCAACCCGTTCAGACGACTAAGATGAACCAGTTTAAAATAAAAAGCCTTCTCGAAGACAGGTCGCGAGCTGGGGTTTTTAAACTGGTTTATTTGCCCCACATGTGCGTTCAGACGCTTAAGTTAAACTGGTTTAACGATCCCCGGGGTTTTTAAACCAGTTCAACTTAAGCGTCTGAACGGGCTATTAGTGTCCTACCTGTTGTGTAAATTATCCATTAAATCCTATTTTACTTGTCCAGAGGGTTCAAAAATATTTTTAAATCCAAGTCACATTTGAAAAGCTTTTACGTCAAGCTTTTCAAATCATTTAGTTGAATTTTTCCAATTTTTTAAATTAGATGTGTTAAGATTAAATTTGTATCATAAATTAATTGGAATATTGTAAAACAGTGCAATTTGTTGACCAGAATAAAGATTGGAACATATTATTCAGTTACGAGAGTGGTATTGAGCCTTTAAAACCCTTAGCCTATAGGCTATAAGACATAGTGTACATGTCATATCTAACGGAAGTAAAAAATTTAATGACGATTAATTAAAATTCCGACGTTTGGGATTTTATTTCTGCCATCATGGATTCTTGAATTTTATTTTTGAGATCAGAATTGAACCCAGCGACACCGAAAACCATATAAATGACATATCCAATAGGAAAAAATCTTTAAATTCAGAGACATCGAAAACCTTATAGCTAAAAGTCATCTTACGAATTAGATATCATGAAAATACATTTTTTGAGGGGGTTTCTTTTGGTCCAATTCGTTATTTCAGCACATTTCCCCTCTTATCACCATTTGTGTTTGAGGAATTTAAAAAAGAGAGTTATTCTCCCACCACTAAAACACACTGAACCTTGTTGAAGACCGCCATATTGAATAATGTTAATTACGTCATTTCGCCATGGCCGAATTCGAGTATGTTGTTGTCTGATATACATATCATTGAACCAAACATTATTGGTTTCTTTTGCAATTCGATTTGGTGCAAAACGTTATCCCACCCATACGCGACGTCATAAGTTGCACGCGATGGTGGCGCGTCAGC